GCAGGCAGACATACACATATGCAGTACAAAAGCCATGAAAGAAAAGGGAAATAATATTACAGGTGTGCAGTGAGAATATCTTTCTCATCCTAGTCCTCTAGTCCCACTCCCCTGATGCAACGTGTTTACGTTTTCTTTTGGAACCCTCCAGGTATCTTCCAGGCATATAAACAATGTGAATGCGGCCTCCTCCTCTTACACAGATGACAGCGTACTGGACATACGTACTAACACCTCTTGCTTCTCCCCACAACAGGAGATGTTGCTGCAGGGGCACGTCTAGATCTCCCAGAGTCCTTGCAGTGATTGCATAGTACTCTTTGCATGGATGTACCTTTAATCGTGTAACCAGTGATTTTATGCCCAGTTTTTGCTGTTACAGCAGCCCTGCAGTGAATTTTCAGTGAAGCTACTTTAATTTAGGTGATAATTTATATTGCTCCTGTGACTTAATAGAAAGGTTAGTTAAAATGAACAAACAGTTCATTTTTGAATTTTGCTAATATAAACTTAGGGCACATGTGTTCTCTAACTCTATATGATGTCAAATTTTATATTTTCAGGGTCACACATAAGAACATGTTGGTGACATTGAAGGTGATGGTAATTTTATGAGTACATTGAAAATAAAATCTTTGTGGGCGAATGCTCTTTAGTTGTCACACTGTATTTTTTTTTAACGTGTTAAGTAATGTTTATTGCACCGTTGTTTATAACAGCTCAAACTAGAACCAACCCAAATGTCAACCAAAAGTAGAAAGTTTAACATTTGGGAGATATATTTATATAATAGAACATTATATATACTTGGAACGTTAACAAACTACAGCTACACATAACAACATAAGAGAATCTCATAAACATGTATACTGTCCTCACAGGATCTTTAAGAATCAGTAAGAGGTCTCAATTGACAAACTGTTCTGTTATCCAGACCTCAATGCTAGAATCTGAAGCCTGGAGTGTTACCTCCCTTTGGACTCCTGGAACTCTTGTTCTTCATGAGGGCTCCTTGATTTGGACAGAGAGCTAGGTTTAGCACTGGTCCAGAGTGAGCCCCATGTCTGAATCTGCCAAAGGGCAGAAGTCGTCATCCTGCTCACTGAGGATGGCATGGGGTGGGGCGCGGGGAGTAGACTTCAGATAAGGGAACTGTGGATGAATGGGTGCAGTAAGAGACCAGGAAAAATCTCGGACTTGAATTCTGTGGTATAGAGGTCAGCGGACAAGGCCAGGCCTGAAGCTAACGGGACTGCGTACGTCTCTCTCCTCCTTTACCCCCGAGATTCTTGTTTCGGGCTTTAGGCCTAGTTGTAGCTGGAAACAATACATTCTTTCACTGTGGGAGTGTTCAGGTGGCCATTCTGAGGGTTGAGGCAGCCCAGGAACATGACACTGACAGTACAATAGGACCAGCATAATCAAAGGCTGTGACTGGTCTGCCCTGCTCACACTTGACGTCTCTGGACTGGTGTCTCCATGAACACTGTTCCTAATGTGTGCACTTTGTGTTCACTCAGGTTGAGTTTTGAAGCCCTTCTTTCCCTTTTTTTTAAGGTTTGGTATTTGATCTTCTCTAATAAAGTCTCCAGATCTCTGTGCTGTTATCTTCCATAGACACAACATTTCTGGGGTGTCCTATTTGGAGAGTGCCATCATTTCTTGAGATTCTCGAATCTTCTGATCCTTCTCTGTTCCTGTTGCCTCCTTGTGGTTCCCTGATGCACAGCCCATCCGTCAGCAAACATGCAAGCTCTAAGTTTAACTAAACTGGGGAATCTTCTCACTTCCCTCTACTTCCCTAGTGACTACCCCAGTCAAAACCACCATCATGTCTTTTCTAGATGACTTCAGCAGTTTTTCCCCACTCTTGCTCCCTTACCCCTTTTCTCTAAGTGGTACCCAGAGGACTGGGCCACAGGGAGTACTTAGTGAGTGTTGGCTGCTTGTGGAATTTGACTTGAAAGTTAGAAGTGTTTGGGGTTTTTTCATTTTTGTGGATTCTTGAATATCAAAGTATAAAATATATTATTTGACTATAGCTTTGGAGATTGTAATTTTGACCTATTATGATATTCTCCTGAATATTTTGTTTTAACCTCCACATTGGGTAGTAAAGGTTATGCCTGTTACTAGGATATTCTCTTGAATATGTCACATAAACTCATTGCAGTTAAAAAACCCTCCATGAGGTTCCTTAAAAAACTGAAAATAGACTTACAATGTGATCCAGCAACCCCACTCCTGGGCACATACCTGGAGAAAAATAAAATTCAAAACACACATGCACCCCAGTGTTCATAGCAGCACTGTTTACAACAGCTAAGACATGGAAACAGATCAGATGTCCATCAACAGATGACTGGATAAAGAAGTTGTGGTATATTTATACAACAGGATACTACTCAGCCATAAAAAAGGAATAAAATAATGCCGTATGCAGCAACATGGATGGACCTGGAAATCATCATTCTGAGTGAAGTGGGCCGGAAAGAGAAAGAAAAATACCGTATGCTATCACTTATATGTGGAATCTAAAACAAAAGGACACAAATAAACTACTTTTATTTCTAACTTAGATGATTGATTTCTTGAATATGTGTAAACACATCTGACTGTCCTTTATGATTGGATTACCACATTCTGTTGATTCTTATTTTGTGGTTGGCTTTATTCCTTTGATAACTATGTAAGTTTAAAAAGCTAAAGCTCTAATCTATTCTTAGAAACAGTGATCAGTACATATATGTAAACTAAAAAAAATGCAGTATATTATATATACGTATTTACATGAAATATAATGTGTATGTGCAATCAAACTGTAATAATTCTATGTAATAAAACTAAAAAAGGGAAAAGTTAACTAATGTTTTATTTAATTTTCTTAGAAATTCAGGATTTTGATTAATTAGATCTACTTTTTTTTTCTTAAGCTACTTTGACATCTGCATTTTCTTTGTCCTATTTTAGTTTATGAGCTAGAAATTTAATTCTATTTTTAATTGATTGAAATATTAAGGCTCTAGATTTTTTTCTAAATACTGTTTCAAATGTATCCCACAGATATATACAATTTTAATTATTATTATTTCTTAGAAATTCTGAAACATCTTGACAGTGGGAAATTAAAATTTTATTGTGGTTGTGTGGGTAATGGAGTAGGTGAAATATTCCTGGAAAAGCTTGTTTCAAATATTGACAAATGATCATTTCAGTGACAACTTTCATTTTCTGAATGTTTGCCAGGTACCTCTCTGGTACAGCTAAGTGGTATATATACATTATCTAATTTAAACTGTATAGCATTGTTTTGAGGTACACAGTTATTTCCCCATTTTGAGAAAAGGAAACTGTGGCTCAGAGGGATTTGTGAAATTTGCCCAAGGCTGCATAACAAGTAAGTTGTTATTGTTCAAATTTGGATCCGTTCCTGATTCCACAGCTATGGCTTTTACTTGGGCAGGAGTATTGTGATGTCACAGAAGTATTGGACCATATGGCATAATCAGGGAACAGTACGAAGCACAGTGTGACTGGAGTGAAGCTGGAACTTGGTGGTGTCATTTCTGGCTTGGGCAGATAGTTCATTGAGATACTGTTAACTAAGATGGAAAACATGAAGCAAAGCAGGTTTATGTAAGAGGATGGGTGAGTTTGATGTACCAACTAGATGGCTAAATGGAACTGTCTGATAGTTAGGTGAGTGTATGGATCTGGAGGTCTGCAGAAGGATTTGTGCTAGAGATATGAATTTAGGTGATAATTTAAATAATGGATTCTGATAGTGGTAAGAATAATGTGAACATTGAGAAGGTCAGAGGATATAGGAAATAATGAAATTAAGATTCAATGGAGAAGAGTCTAAAAAGGAAACCAGAGAAAGTTAAAAAAAAACAATGTCAGGAGGAAGCTAGGATATGGTGGTTCACAGGTGCCAAGGAAAAGGGAGAGTCATTAGTATGTGCTCTGAAGAACTAAAGAAAGATAAAATAGGAAGGGTTCATTTGATTTAATAGCCGAAAGGAAAATTAATATCATAAATGATGGATCTAGTGGAGTGATGTATTTATCCCTTTTCTTTCCTTTCTCCCTCTTTCCCTTACTTTTACTTCACCCTCTTCCCCGTCTTCTTTCCCTAATATGATACATAACACTTCATGTTACAGAATGAGAGTTGAAGTCATGACAACATGACATCTTGTCTTAGATTATGGCTATGAGTATGAATGACATAAAGAGATGTGAAAATGTTCAAGTATTGGATCAGAATGACTTTTTAAAAGAATTTCTTGAACTCAGAATCATAGTTACACATACCCTTTTTGCCCAGAAATAAATATACTTGTCCAATAACTTTTAACAGTCTTTGAAATAGTAATGAAAATAATTTTAGTGCAGTTCTAAAAGCTTTATGTATTTTAGTCAATTAAAACCTCATCAGAATAAAAAAAGAATAAAAAACTCATCAGCAGTTCTATGCCAGTTTTACGGATGAGGAAACCGAGTGAAGTTCAGTAAATTTGCCAGTTGTTGTATACTTGCTTTAGCAATGTGATCTCAGAGTGTACCCTCTTAATCACAAGGCTGTTTTCCTTTTTAATATGCTGTAGTACTTATTTTCATTTCTTTAACAATTAATTAGTAATATTTATGTTATAATTGTAATTCAGAATTAGCAGCTAGAATATTTTGACATTTTAGGGAAATCTGTTAGCATATAGAAGAGTGAAGATTAGAAAAATAATTCCTGAAAAAGATATATCAAGTACAAACGTGAGTTGAAATTCCAGTTTTCTATATTTTAGTTAGAATAGTGAAATGCTTGTGAGAGAAACTAGAATACCTTATCCAGTATGGCACGTAGTGTTTGAAAAACACAATATTGCTACACAATAAAAGTGTATAAAAGATAATTAAATGATCCCATAGGGTACCAATTAAAAATGGATGCGTTTTTTAAGTTTTTAATACCTAATGACGTTATAAATGTCTTTCTTCAGGGAAAAATGCAATTTCCATTGTGAGCTGCCTTCCAGAATTTATGGTAGAGCTTCGCTGACGTTGCCACTGATGCCAAAGTGGAATAAAGGTCTTTACAATTTAGAAAGTCAAAATGTATAAATGAATTACTGTTAAAAATGATTTAGTTACTCTTCTTAGACTTCAAAACACATAGTACAAATAAATATTTGTATGTTCTTTTAGAAAGAACATTTGAAAATAAAGTTATATCAATATAATATTTATTTTGCCCTCATCAGTATTTTTGTCTTATTTCATGCTTGGAATTGGCTTGTTTCCCATGACCTTTGTATTTGAACCCTAATCACAATCTAATAATGTTTTGTTGTAAGACTAATTACAGAGTTGTATTTCAACATTGCTTTTCTGTAGAAACAACTCAGCGAACTAAAATTGATTTTAATATGAAAGATCTGTTGTTGTAAAAGAAGTTAACACAGAGACAGCGGGTTAGTTCTATTAAAGGAATTGTTCTTCCCCTTGGCTCCCTCTACTGTGATAAATAAAAAGAATGATTTGACTTGCTTCCTGGGTCATACGGGCATTGAGTACGTGGATGCCTGTCCTCACGGCTGTCCCCTCCGTGTGCAGTGCCTGTCACTCGTAGGCATGCTAGCGTTTTTTCTTAACCAACTGAATAGATAAATAATATATTTGAATAATTTCTCTGAGTTGAAAATGTGTTCGTATGTAAGACTAAGACATTATTAAATTGTTTTTGTTTGCCTGGGTCTCACATGGAAATGTCATGTTAAATTTAAAAACGCTAGTTTTAGATTTCAGGTAACAGTTCTTGAAAAATAGTCATAGAATCCTCAGTTTCTGCCTCACCGCTTTTACGTTCCTTACCCTTTTTTCCTTTCCCTCCCTCCCTCTGCTCTCTTTCTTCCCTTCAACCTGTTCTTTATTTTCTCTTTAATAATCCTTTTATTTTTGCCTTGTTTGTTTTCCTTTAGTAGCTGGAGTCCATCTTTCTCCAGCTTCTCCTGAAATTGTACTGGACCATGACCACAGTTCTCCTTCTGTCGGCTGCCTCTCTTCTGAGCCCATCATTTCCTCACCAGAGAATACACATGCAGACAACAGCATTGTCGGTCAGACGGTTCCTAAAGCACAGGTAAAGACAAGCATATTTTTATGGGAAGTTTATCTACTTAAAAAAGTGCATACTGCTTTAAATGAAGCTTTTCTGATCTTCCTTCCTTCCTTCCTTCTCTCCCTCCCTCTTTCTCTTTCCTTCTTTCCTTCTTTCCTTCTTTCCTTCTTTCCTTCTTTCTTTCTTTCTTTCTTTCTTTCTTTCTTTCTTTCTTTCTTTCT